AGATTAACCATTGCTCCTCAACAACAAATATAACTAAAACACATCTATCTAAATTAACCATTTCTCCTCAACAACAAATACAACTAAAACACATCTATCTAAATTAACCATTGCTCCTCAACAACAAATACAACTAAAACACATCTATCTAAATTAACCATTGCTCCTCAACAACAAATACAACTAAAACACATCTATCTAAATTAACCATTGCTCCTCAACAACTAATATAACTAAAACACATCTATCTAAATTAACCATTGCTCCTCAACAACAAATATAATAATAAACACTTCTATTTAGATTAACCATTGCTCCTCAACAACAAATACAACTAAAACACATCTATCTAAATTAACCATTTCTCCTCAACAACAAATATAATAATAAACACTTCTATCTAGAGAAATAATTGCTCCTCAACAACAAATATAACTAAAACACATCTATCTAAATTAACCATTTCTCCTCAACAACAAATATAATAATAAACACTTCTATTTAGATTAACCATTGCTCCTCAACAACAAATACAACTAAAACACATCTATCTAAATTAACCATTGCTCCTCAACAACAAATATAATAATAAACACTTCTATTTAGATTAACCATTGCTCCTCAACAACAAATACAACTAAAACACATCTATCTAAATTAACCATTGCTCCTCAACAACAAATATAATAATAAACACTTCTATTTAGATTAACCATTGCTCCTCAACAACAAATACAATAATAAACACTTCTATTTAGATTAACCATTGCTCCTCAACAACAAATACAACTAAAACACATCTATCTAAATTAACCATTGCTCCTCAACAACAAATATAATAATAAACACTTCTATTTAGATTAACCATTGCTCCTCAACAACTAATATAACTAAAACACATCTATCTAAATTAACCATTGCTCCTCAACAACAAATATAATAATAAACACTTCTATTTAGATTAACCATTGCTCCTCAACAACAAATACAACTAAAACACATCTATCTAAATTAACCATTGCTCCTCAACAACTAATATAACTAAAACACATCTATCTAAATTCACCATTGCTCCTCAACAACAAATACAACTAAAACACATCTATCTAAATTAACCATTGCTCCTCAACAACAAATATAACTAAAACACATCTATCTAAATTCACCATTGCTCCTCAACAACAAATACAACTAAAACACATCTACCAAATTAACAATTGCTTATTGTTGAAGGCTGTATGATGACCTGTTATTGTTTACATCTTTGTCCTTTGGTCTTTATGGATAGTTGTCTCATTGGCAATCACCTCTTTTATTTTATATCTAGAGTGTGACATAAAGTCTTTATCAAAACACATTAGTCTGTACAATATTTCAAATTCTTAAATATCCAAAGTGTATAACTGTTATGAATTAAAAAAAAAACACAAAATTCTCCAAATAACAAAATGACATGAGCTTAATTTTCAACCCTTCTTCCCCAATCCCACACGTAGTTGTGATTGCAAAAGCCATTCCTCTATATATAGCCCATATGACATCCATATTTCTTTATTAGCTAAACTGTGTTGACAGCATACAGGGAGTACAATCTTGCAACTCATGGTCCATAATTAACCCTTTCAATATATGTTGTAAATAAAAGTATGAAAACCTGAATACCCTTCTTGGAGATAAAAATATAAAACTGTGACAAGTAGCCAAAATCAGGTGGGGGTGGGAGTCATTTGGTGATCAATTAGTTGATGGTATATGCTGTGGGTTATTATCCTAAATGCTTCTATAGATAGTTCAGAAACACAAGGCAGTATTATATGGCCAGAACAATTTTGGTCTGTAAAAACTAGAACACTGTTTTGTCAGAAATATACAAAAACACAGACATTAATTTGGCACAGCTGGCTTGCCATTAATTTCCAGAGTAGGAAAATGAGTTTACATTTACAGCCAGTCAACAGGGATTGGCTGCTGTAACTACAAGGTAATAAAAAGGGTGGGTTAAAAAAAAAAAGGAGAATGTACGTGTCCTTGACAGATGATGCCCCCACTTGCATACAACATTATAAAGGAACATAACTCAAGAACTGTACAAGTGACACTACCCAAATACTAACTTGATCTGAGTTTTGTGGTAATAAGTATTGTGTATAAGTTTCATAACATTTGGTTATGGCAAACTTTAGATAGGGAACGGAAATGAAAAATTAAGCAATTTTTCCATTTGTAAAGGGCATAACTCTAGAACGATAAAAGTGACACTACCCAAATTCAAACTTGATCTGTGTTTTGTGGTATTAAGCATTGTGTATAAGTTTCATAATATTTGGTTGAGGCAAACTAAAGTTAGAGAATGGAAACCAATTTTGGGACGTACGTACAGAAGGACAAGGGTAACACTTAATGCCCCCTCCGCTGTGTCGGGGCATATTATGAATATGAATTAATCATAATGAAATATTATGCAGGCTTGCCAAGTGTATTATATTTTATGAAAAAAACAAGCAAAGTTTCCTTATTAAAATTTTCAGTGGATGTCTTTTGTTATATCTACATTGTTCTATCCTTTGTTGAACTTAGTATTAATGGTCCATTTTTTATCATCTGTTGAACTTAGTATAAATGGTTGATTTTTTATCATATTCAACAGTCTATTCAATTTATTCACAAACTATTTTCCAAACCATTAAGAGCTTGACCCTGTTTATTGTTCTAACAGCTATGTCAGTTGACTTCCACTGGATGTATTAAATTGAACAGTGTCTGTATATTAACTTACTTGAACAGTGTCTGTATACTAACTTATGAGGTTGTATTAATGATTTTAAGTTGATCTAATATAAGCACATAAAACACATATAAAACCATGCATTCTGAGAAAATCTTATCAAACATGTATACTGTGGATTCAATGATATTAGTTTTTGTGGACTTTGTTTGTAGAGTGAACCACAGATTTAAACACTCAATAAAAAACAAAATTTGTAAGGGTTCCACGGAACCCAGTGTCGCGCCTACTTTTGCTGCTAGTCACAGGCTCAACAAAAACGGGGAAAAAATTAATAAAAATTTTCTTATAGATACTATCTTTTGATTGTAAGAAGCTTCTGTCAAAGTTTGGAAAAAATCCAGAATGGTTTATGAATCTAATAAAAGTTTTAAAAACTTTATCTGCAGACTGTATGTAATGTTAACTGGAAGATAAACTAAGTCCATTTATAAGTAATATACGGAAAAACAGGAAATATATTTTTTACAAAATTTCCTTGAAGATACTAGCTTTTGATCATAAACAAGCTTCTGTCCAAGTTTGGTACAAATCCAGGATAGTTTAAGAAAGTTATTAAAATTGTAAAAACTTTAACCACAGAGTGAATGTAAAATTAACTGGCAGAAAAAACTAAGTCCATTTATAAGTAAAATTCAGGAAAACAGGATTTTTTTTTTACAAAATTTACTTCTGGATACTATCTTAAGATCATAAACAAGCTTCTGTCCAAGTTTGGTAGAAATCCAGGATAGTTTAAGAAAGTTATTAAAATTTCAAAAACTTTAACCACAGAGTGAATATTTGTGGACGCCGCCGACGACGGAATGTAGGATTGCTATGTCTTGCTTTTGCGACAAAAGTCGCAGGCTCGACAAAAAGGAATAGATTATTCAACCATGAAATAAGGTACCCTCAAACTACTGTAGCTAGGTTTTAATCAACCATGAAATTAGGTACCCTCAAACTACTGTAGCTAGGTTTTAATCAACCATGAAATTAGGTACCCTCAAACTACTGTAGTTATGTTTTATTCAACCATGAAAATTGATACCAACGAAAATAAATGACTCCACAGAAAGAGAACTCTGGGTAAAATCATGCACATATTGTAAACCAACACATTTCTGTGACTTTCACAAGTAAAATAATAAGGCAATCATAAACGGTTACAAAAATGTTAAAACTTGGATCTTTTCTTATTAACAAAGTTATGCATAAACAGAACTTAATGTGAAGAAAGTATTAGCAGAAATAAATTGGTTTACAATGAATAGGATCTGACATTACATTAATATTTATGTGATTAAAATTATCTCAATCAAAAATATATATCTATACAGCGGTGTGGAAATAGTTGTTGTGAGCACTTGTCTGGAAAAAAAATCGCTCGCTTGAATTCCCAATATATAGTAGATGTATTTCACAATAAATTTGTATGATTCTTAAAACTGTTTTGAATCACAATATAAATGAAGTTTGTGATATTTGTTTATGTGTACAAATAAAAGGAGGTATGGGATGTGATATTTGTTTATGTGTATGAATAAAAGGAGGTATGGGATGTAATATTTGTTTATGTGTATGAATAAAAGGAGGTATGGAGTTAACATCAATGAAGTTTCATCACTGGGGAGCCAGGGTGAATTCATAAGCAAAGACATCTAGAATTCTCGATTCCATTTTTCCCCTGCCTTTCTCAGCCTGCTTTTTCCGTTTTCTACTCAACTCAACTCATCATTATCATTTTTGTTCCCTTTGTCTTGATTACCCAGTTGATGTGTTTTTATCAGATAATTATTCATTTCGATAGAACTTAGTTAAGAAAACTTGAAATGACACCTATGTTAGATTTGGGATAAACCTAATTGACGTTCACAGGTCAAAGATATATGATGAGACCTGGATGTTTGTGACAGCAATACTGTGGATTCATTATTATTTGTTGGATACCAATTTTCGTGGATTTCGTTGGTACATGTGGAACAAGAAATTAAATGTTCAACGAATAACAAATTTTCTATAGCTTGTATGCAGACTTCGGCAAAACCACGAAATTGAATATCCACTAACACGTAAGTTTTCCTTAATCCACAAAAATTGGTACCCACGAAAATAAATGAATCCACAGTATATTGAAATAACCAAAAGGACAAGGATGTAAATATACCCATAACCCTAACCCCTAATTGACACTTCAGATCAGTAACCTAAGCAGATGTAAATATACCCATAACCCTAACCCTTAAATTGACTCTTCAGATCAGTAACCTAAGCAGATGTAAATATACCCATAACCCTAACCCCTAATTGACTCTTCAGATCAGTAACCTAAGCAGATGAAAATATACCCATAACCCTAACCCCTTAAATTGACTCTTCAGATCAGTAACCTAAGCAGATGTAAATATACCTATAACCCTAACCCCTAATAACCTAAGCAGATGTGAATATACCCATAACCCTAACCCCTTATAACCTAAGCAGATGTAAATATACCCATAACCCTAACCCCTAATAACCTAAGCAGATGTGAATATACCCATAACCCTAACCCCTAATAACCTAAGCAGATGTAAATATACCCATAACCCTAACCCCTAATAACCTAAGCAGATGCAAATATACCCATAACCCTTACCCCTAATTGACACTTCAGATCAGTAACCTAAGCAGATGTAAATATACCCATAACCCTTACCCCTAATTGACTCTTTAGATCAGTAACCTAAGCAGATGTAAATATACCCATAACCCTAACCCCTAATTGACACTTCAGATCAGTAACCTAAGCAGATGTAAATATACCCATAACCCTAACCCCTAATTGACACTTCAGATCAGTAACCTAAGCAGATGTAAATATACACATAACCCTAACCCCTAATTGACACTTCAGATCAATAACCTTAGCAGATGTAAATATACACATAACCCTAACCCCTAATTGACACTTCAGATCAGTAACCTAAGCAGATGTAAATATACCCATAACCCTAACCCCTAATTGACACTTCAGATCAGTAACCTAAGCAGATGTAAATATACCCATAACCCTAACCCCTAATTGACTCTTTAGATCAGTAACCTAAGCAGATGTAAATATACCCATAACCCTAACCCCTGAAATTGACACTTCAGATCAGTAACCTAAGCAGATGTAAATATACCCATAACCCTAACCCCTAATTGACTCTTCAGATCAGTAACCTAAGCAGATGTAAATATACCCATAACCCTAACCCCTTAAATTGACTCTTCAGATCAGTAACCTAAGCAGATGTAAATATACCCATAACCCTAACCCCTGAAATTGACACTTCAGATCAGTAACCTAAGCAGATGTAAATATACCCATAACCCTAACCCCCTAATTGACACTTCAGATCAGTAACCTAAGCAGATGTAAATATACCCATAACCCTAACCCCCTAATTGACACTTCAGATCAGTAACCTAAGCAGATGTAAATATACCCATAACCCTAACCCCTTAAATTGACTCTTCAGATCAGTAACCTAAGCAGATGTAAATATACCCATAACCCTAACCCCTTAAATTGACTCTTCAGATCAGTAACCTAAGCAGATGTAAATATACCCATAACCCTAACCCCAAATTGACTCTTTAGATCAGTAACCTAAGCAGATGTAAATATACCCATAACCCTAACCCCTAACTGACTCTTCAGATCAGTAACCTAAGCAGATGAAAATATACCCATAACCCTAACCCCTAATTGACTCTTCAGATCAGTAACCTAAGCAGATGAAAATATACCCATAACCCTAACCCCTTAAATTGACTCTTCAGATCAATAACCTTAGCAGATGTAAATATACCCATAACCCTAACCCCTAACTGACTCTTCAGATCAGTAACCTTAGCAGATGTAAATATACCCATAACCCTAACCCCTAATTGACACTTCAGATCAGTAACCTAAGCAGATGAAAATATACCCATAACCCTAACCCCAAATTGACTCTTTAGATCAGTAACCTAAGCAGATGTAAATATACCCATAACCCTAACCCCAAATTGACTCTTTAGATCAGTAACCTAAGCAGATGTAAATATACCCATAACCCTAACCCCTAATTAACCCTTCAGATCAATAACCTAAGCAGATGTAAATATACCCATAACCCTAAACCCCTAATTGACACTTCAGATCAGTAACCTAAGCAGATGTAAATATACCCATAACCCTAACCCCTAATATTGACTCTTCAGATCAGTAACCTAAGCAGATGTAAATATACCCATAACCCTAACCCCTAATTGACACTTCAGATCAGTAACCTAAGCAGATGTAAATATACCCATAACCCTAACCCCTAATTAACCCTTCAGATCAATAACCTAAGCAGATGTAAATATACCCATAACCCTAAACCCCTAATTGACACTTCAGATCAGTAACCTAAGCAGATGTAAATATACCCATAACCCTAACCCCTAATATTGACTCTTCAGATCAGTAACCTAAGCAGATGTAAATATACCCATAACCCTAACCCCTAATTGACACTTCAGATCAGTAACCTAAGCAGATGTAAATATACCCATAACCCTAACCCCTAATTGACACTTCAGATCAGTAACCTAAGCAGATGTAAATATACCCATAACCCTAACCCCTAATTAACCCTTCAGATCAGTAACCTTAGCAGATGTAAATATACCCATAACCCTAACCCCTAAATGACTTTTCAGATCAGTAACCTTAGTAGATGTAAATATACCCATAACCCTAACCCCTAATTGACACTTCAGATCAGTAACCTAAGCAGATGTAAATTTACCCATAACCCTAACCCCCTAATTGACTCTTCAGATCAGATACCTAAGCAGATGTAAATATACCCATAACCCTAACCCCTAATTGACTCTTTAGATCAGTAACCTAAGCAGATGTAAATTTACCCATAACCCTAACCCCCTAATTGACTCTTCAGATCAGTAACCTAAGCAGATGTAAATATACCCATAACCCTAACCCCTAATTGACTCTTTAGATCAGTAACCTAAGCAGATGTAAATTTACCCATAACCCTAACCCCCTAATTGACTCTTCAGATCAGTAACCTAAGCAGATGTAAATATACCTATAACCCTAATCCCTAATTGACATTTCAGATCAGTAACCTTAGTAGATGTAAATATACCCATAACTCTAACCCCTAATTGACACTTCAGATCAGTAACCTAAGCAGATGTAAATATACACATAACCCTAACCCCAAATTGACACTTCAGATCAGTAACCTTAGCAGATGTAAATATACCCATAACCCTAACCCCTAATTGACTCTTTAGATCAGTAACCTAAGCAGATGTAAATATACACATAACCCTAACCCCAAATTGACACTTCAGATCAGTAACCTTAGCAGATGTAAATATACCCATAACCCTAACCCCTAATTGACTCTTTAGATCAGTAACCTAAGCAGATGTAAATATACACATAACCCTAACCCCTAATTGACACTTTAGATCAGTAACCTAAGCAGATGTAAATATACACATAACCCTAACCCCAAATTGACTCTTCAGATCAGTAACCTAAGCAGATGTAAATATACACATAACCCTAACCCCTAATTGACTCTTCAGATCAGTAACCTAAGCAGATGTAAATATACCCATAACCCTAACCCCAAATTGACACTTCAGATCAGTAACCTTAGCAGATGTAAATATACACATAACCCTAACCCCTAATTGACTCTTCAGATCAGTAACCTAAGCAGATGTAAATATACACATAACCCTAACCCCTAATTGACACTTCAGATCAGTAACCTAAGCAGATGTAAATATACCCATAACCCTAACCCCTAATTGACACTTCAGATCAGTAACCTAAGCAGATGTAAATATACCCATAACCCTAACCCCTAATTAACCCTTCAGATCAATAACCTTAGCAGATGTAAATATACCCATAAATCTAACCCCTAATTGACACTTCAGATCAGTAACCTTAGCAGATGTAAATATACCCATAACCCTAACCCCTAATTGACTCTTTAGATCAGTAACCTAAGCAGATGTAAATATACCCATAACCCTAACCCCTAATTGACACTTCAGATCAGTAACCTTAGCAGATGTAAATATACCCATAACCCTAACCCCTAATATTGACTCTTCAGATCAGTAACCTTAGCAGATGTAAATATACCCATAACCCTAACCCCTAATTGACACTTCAGATCAGTAACCTTAGCAGATGTAAATATACCCATAACCCTAACCCCCTAATTGACTCTTCAGATCAGTAACCTAAGCAGATGTAAATATACCCATAACCCTAACCCCCTAATTGACTCTACAGATCAGTAACCTAAGCAGATGTAAATATACCCATAACCCTAAACCCCTAATTGACACTTCAGATCAGTAACCTAAGCAGATGTAAATATACCCATAACCCTAACCCCTAATTGACACTTCAGATCAGTAACCTAAGCAGATGTAAATATACCCATAACCCTAACCCCTAATTAACCCTTCAGATCAATAACCTTAGCAGATGTAAATATACCCATAAATCTAACCCCTAATTGACTCTTCAGATCAGTAACCTAAGCAGATGTAAATATACCCATAACCCTAAACCCCTAATTGACACTTCAGATCAGTAACCTAAGCAGATGTAAATATACCCATAACCCTAAACCCCTAATTGACTCTTCAGATCAGTAACCTTAGCAGATGTAAATATACCCATAACCCTAAACCCCTAATTGACACTTCAGATCAGTAACCTAAGCAGATGTAAATATACCCATAACCCTAACCCCTAATTGACACTTCAGATCAGTAACCTAAGCAGATGTAAATATACCCATAACCCTAACCCCTAATTAACCCTTCAGATCAATAACCTTAGCAGATGTAAATATACCCATAAATCTAACCCCTAATTGACTCTTCAGATCAGTAACCTAAGCAGATGTAAATATACCCATAACCCTAAACCCCTAATTGACTCTTCAGATCAGTAACCTTAGCAGATGTAAATATACCCATAACCCTAACCCCAAATTGACACTTCAGATCAGTAACCTTAGCAGATGTAAATATACACATAACCCTAACCCCTAATTGACTCTTCAGATCAGTAACCTAAGCAGATGTAAATATACACATAACCCTAACCCCTAATTGACACTTCAGATCAGTAACCTAAGCAGATGTAAATATACCCATAACCCTAACCCCTAATTGACACTTCAGATCAGTAACCTAAGCAGATGTAAATATACCCATAACCCTAACCCCTAATTAACCCTTCAGATCAATAACCTTAGCAGATGTAAATATACCCATAAATCTAACCCCTAATTGACACTTCAGATCAGTAACCTTAGCAGATGTAAATATACCCATAACCCTAACCCCTAATTGACTCTTTAGATCAGTAACCTAAGCAGATGTAAATATACCCATAACCCTAACCCCTAATTGACACTTCAGATCAGTAACCTTAGCAGATGTAAATATACCCATAACCCTAACCCCTAATATTGACTCTTCAGATCAGTAACCTTAGCAGATGTAAATATACCCATAACCCTAACCCCTAATTGACACTTCAGATCAGTAACCTTAGCAGATGTAAATATACCCATAACCCTAACCCCCTAATTGACTCTTCAGATCAGTAACCTAAGCAGATGTAAATATACCCATAACCCTAACCCCCTAATTGACTCTACAGATCAGTAACCTTAGCAGATGTAAATATACCCATAACCCTAAACCCCTAATTGACACTTCAGATCAGTAACCTAAGCAGATGTAAATATACCCATAACCCTAACCCCTAATTGACACTTCAGATCAGTAACCTAAGCAGATGTAAATATACCCATAACCCTAACCCCTAATTAACCCTTCAGATCAATAACCTTAGCAGATGTAAATATACCCATAAATCTAACCCCTAATTGACTCTTCAGATCAGTAACCTAAGCAGATGTAAATATACCCATAACCCTAAACCCCTAATTGACACTTCAGATCAGTAACCTAAGCAGATGTAAATATACCCATAACCCTAAACCCCTAATTGACTCTTCAGATCAGTAACCTTAGCAGATGTAAATATACCCATAACCCTAAACCCCTAATTGACACTTCAGATCAGTAACCTAAGCAGATGTAAATATACCCATAACCCTAACCCCTAATTGACACTTCAGATCAGTAACCTAAGCAGATGTAAATATACCCATAACCCTAACCCCTAATTAACCCTTCAGATCAATAACCTTAGCAGATGTAAATATACCCATAAATCTAACCCCTAATTGACTCTTCAGATCAGTAACCTAAGCAGATGTAAATATACCCATAACCCTAAACCCCTAATTGACTCTTCAGATCAGTAACCTTAGCAGATGTAAATATACCCATAACCCTAAACCCCTAATTGACACTTCAGATCAGTAACCTAAGCAGATGTAAATATACCCATAACCCTAACCCCTAATTGACACTTCAGATCAGTAACCTAAGCAGATGTAAATATACCCATAACCCTAACCCCTAATTAACCCTTCAGATAAATAACCTTAGCAGATGTAAATATACCCATAAATCTAACCCCTAATTGACACTTCAGATCAGTAACCTTAGCAGATGTAAATATACCCATAACCCTAACCCCTAATTGACTCTTTAGATCAGTAACCTAAGCAGATGTAAATATACCCATAACCCTAACCCCTAATTGACACTTCAGATCAGTAACCTTAGCAGATGTAAATATACCCATAACCCTAACCCCTAATATTGACTCTTCAGATCAGTAACCTTAGCAGATGTAAATATACCCATAACCCTAACCCCTAATTGACACTTCAGATCAGTAACCTTAGCAGATGTAAATATACCCATAACCCTAACCCCCTAATTGACTCTTCAGATCAGTAACCTAAGCAGATGTAAATATACCCATAACCCTAACCCCCTAATTGACTCTACAGATCAGTAACCTTAGCAGATGTAAATATACCCATAACCCTAAACCCCTAATTGACACTTCAGATCAGTAACCTAAGCAGATGTAAATATACCCATAACCCTAACCCCTAATTGACACTTCAGATCAGTAACCTAAGCAGATGTAAATATACCCATAACCCTAACCCCTAATTAACCATTCAGATCAATAACCTTAGCAGATGTAAATATACCCATAAATCTAACCCCTAATTGACTCTTCAGATCAGTAACCTAAGCAGATGTAAATATACCCATAACCCTAAACCCCTAATTGACACTTCAGATCAGTAACCTAAGCAGATGTAAATATACCCATAACCCTAAACCCCTAATTGACTCTTCAGATCAGTAACCTTAGCAGATGTAAATATACCCATAACCCTAAACCCCTAATTGACACTTCAGATCAGTAACCTAAGCAGATGTAAATATACCCATAACCCTAACCCCTAATTGACACTTCAGATCAGTAACCTAAGCAGATGTAAATATACCCATAACCCTAACCCCTAATTAACCCTTCAGATCAATAACCTTAGCAGATGTAAATATACCCATAAATCTAACCCCTAATTGACTCTTCAGATCAGTAACCTAAGCAGATGTAAATATACCCATAACCCTAACCCCTAACTGACACTTCAGATCAGTAACCTAAGCAGATGTAAATATACTCATAACCCTAACCCCTAACTGACTCTTCAGATCAGTAACCTAAGCAGATGTAAATATACCCATAACCCTACCCCTAATTGACTCTTCAGATCAGTAACCTTAGCAGATGTAAATATACCCATAACCCTAACCCCTTAAATTGACTCTTCAGATCAATAACCTTAGCAGATGTAAATATACCTATAACCCTAACCCCTAACTGACTATTCAGATCAGTAACCTAAGCAGATGTAAATATACACATAACCCTAACCCCCTAATTGACTCTTCAGATCAGTAACCTAAGTAGATGTAAATATACCCATAACCCTAACCCCTAATTGACACTTCAGATCAGTAACCTAAGCAGATGTAAATATACCCATAACCCTAACCCCTAACTGACTTTTCAGATCAGTAACCTTAGTAGATGTAAATATACCCATAACCCTAACCCCTAATTGACACTTCAGATCAGTAACCTAAGCAGATGTAAATATACCCATAACCCTAACCCCCTAATTGACTCTTCAGATCAGTAACCTAAGCAGATGTAAATATACCCATAACTCTAACCCCTAATTGACACTTCAGATCAGTAACCTAAGTAGATGTAAATATACCCATAACCCTAACCCCTAATTGACACTTCAGATCAGTAACCTAAGCAGATGTAAATATACCCATAACCCTAACCCCAAATTGACACTTCAGATCAGTAACCTAAGCAGATGTATATATACACATAACCCTAACCCCCTAATTGACTCTTCAGATCAGTAACCTAAGCAGATGTAAATATACCCATAACCCTAACCCCTAAATGACTATTCAGATCAGTAACCTTAGTAGATGTAAATATACCCATAACCCTAACCCCTAATTGACACTTCAGATCAGTAACCTAAGCAGATGTAAATATACACATAACCCTAACCCCTAATTGACACTTCAGATCAGTAACCTTAGCAGATGTAAATATACACATAACCCTAACCCCTAATTGACTCTTCAGATCAGTAACCTTAGCAGATGTAAATATACACATAACCCTAACCCCTAATTGACACTTCAGATCAGTAACCTTAGCAGATGTAAATTTACACATAACCCTAACCCCTAACTGACTATTCAGATCAGTAACCTTAGTAGATGTAAATATACCCATAACCCTAACCCCTAATTGACACTTCAGATCAGTAACCTAAGCAGATGTACATATACACATAACCCTAACCCCTAATTGACACTTCAGATCAGTAACCTAAGCAGATGTAAATATACCCATAACCCTAACCTCCTAATTGACACTTCAGATCAGTAACCTAAGCAGATGTAAATATACACATAACCCTAACCCCTAATTGACCCTTCAGATCAGTAACCTTAGCAGATGTAAATATACACATAACCCTAACCCCTAATTGACTCTTCAGATCAGTAACCTTAGCAGATGTAAATATACACATAACCCTAACCCCTAATTGACTCTTCAGATCAGTAACCTTAGCAGATGTAAATATACACATAACCCTAACCCCTAATTGACACTTCAGATCAGTAACCTAAGCAGATGTAAATATACACATAACCCTAACCCCTAATTGACTCTTTAGATCAGTAACCTAAGCAGATGTAAATATACCCATAACCCTAACCCCTAATTGACACTTCAGATCAGTAACCTAAGCAGATGTAAATATACCCATAACCCTAACCCCTAATTGACACTTCAGATCAGTAACCTTAGCAGATGTAAATATACCCATAACCCTAACCCCTAATTGACATTCAGATCAGTAACCTAAGCAGATGTAAATATACCCATAACCCTAACCCCTAATTGACTCTTCAGATCAGTAACCTTGGCAGATGTAAATATACCCATAACCCTAACCCCTAATATTGACTCTTTAGATCAGTAACCTTAGCACAAACACAACTAACAAAATGACAAAAGAAACAAAACCCTAGTCTAAGAGTACTCATAGTTACTGGAAGCTAGTTCAAAGCCAAAGATCAAATAATAAATCTATTGATTCTTCTGCTATCTGCCTTAAATACACCCTTGCCATTTTCACTAATGTCTGTAGAAATCATTAGATGTGCTAGGACTAACAGATGGACAGACAGATAGCATATAATAAATTGTGCCTATTTCAACCTTCATATCAAAAAGCAAACACAGTGGACTAATTTATATCTTCTGAAGGGGATCCATTAACTTCAAGTATGGAAAATACAAAACAAAGCCCTATAGATATAATTTGTATAATGTGTAGAAAGTTACTACAAAACAAAGCCCTATAGATATATTTTATAGAAAGTTAATACTTTAAGTATGGAAAATACATAACAAAGCCCTATCAATAATTTGTAGAACGTTAATACTTCAAGTATGGAAAATACTAAACAAAGCCCTATAATAATTTGTAGAAAGTACTTCAGATTTCATGGCATCTTCGCTAGCCAAGGGTTACGATCCAGTCCCCTCCTCTCCACCCTTAGCAGATTAAGATAGAATTAAGAATAAACGAGTTAAGGACTTTCATTAGTAGCAGTTGTAACTGGCTGCATCCAATCAAAAAGCACCTTCGTGATGATCATGTGTGACTGCAGAAAATGTAAATAAACATTTGCCACGTGCTGATTGTGCAACAAGTCTTTACCCCCAATCATAGAACGATATGTAATGGCAATTTTAAAGTTTTTAATCAACTAATTGAAGAACCTGGGTATGTTTCTTGCGCAAATATTGGAATGTCCACATATATTTTAGATTCCTGCTTCACGAAATTTGTAAACACTAGACACATCAAATTTTACACCTCCAAACTGAAGAGAGTTCAAATGCTGCCATTGGTCAACAATGATGTATTATGAATGGGCGTGACTTTTACCTACCGGTAGTGGCGCACCATTGTAATCACAAATGTTGGGTTAATCCGCCAAGGGTGGAGAGGATGGGACTTGACCGTAACCCTTGGCTTAAGCAAAGATCATTTCAGGGTTACTCTTTACAAATGTTGTCAGCGAGTCTTGAAAGATGTTTTATCATTACGCTTTTGTGGATTCATTTATTTCTGTGGGTCTAAAATTTTTGTGGATTAAAAAAATGTTACTGTGGAGAATAGTTGAATTGGTGGTTTTGGCAAATTCTGTCCATTTAAATCATTTATATTTTGTACCTCATTTATTATAAATTCATGGTTTACCTACACCCTGAAAAGTTAGTATCTGATGTTTAACAATCAATCTACATTAGCTTAACATATATAGCATCACTGTTTATACTTTAGTCAATGAAAAATCAAGCCATGTCATTAGTATATTATAAAGAGTATATATAGTTATATTTTCTATGTTAAATAAAGCTATGTAAATAAAAGAAGAATGTGTTTGAGGATACAAATGCCCATGCTCGAGCTTTGAAATTTTCCAAGTTAAAAAGGACATTACTTTAGAACGGTTAATGATTCACTGCCCAAGTTTGAACTCTGTCTGTGAGTTTTGGTTCTTAGCATTGTATATGAATTTCATAAAATTTGGAGGAAAAAACTTAAGTAAGGGTGTGAAAACAAAAAAATTGCCAATTTCCAAGTTATAAAGGGGCATTACTCTGGAATGGTAAGCAACTCACTGCTCAAATTTGTACTCTGTCTGCAAGTTTTGGTTCTTAGCATTGTGTATGTCAGTTTCATAAAATTTGGATGAGAAAAACTTGAGTTTAGGCTGAGAGTGCGGAAACAAAAAAGGAACGGACGGATGGAAAGACAGAAGGACTAAAGGACAGACAGAAAGACTGTCAAGAGTAACACTAATGCCCCCATTGCCTATGCCGGGGGTATAAAAATATTATAAAGATTGATATATATATATAATTTATATTTTTCAATGTTAATGTCAAATCCCTATATTAATGAGGATAAACTGCAACTAAAGCTATTACCTCTCCATATCACGGTAATGGAAAATTAACCTCAGAAAACTACTCCTAAAAACAAAGAGAAAACAATAGATATAGCATGGTATACCAGTATGTTGTACCAACCAAATCATTATTACACAAACACTACATTCAAGCAGACTATATTTAGCAGATTCTATCAATGTGATTTTCAGTGAATAAGTACATGTACATTTATCCCTTGACACTAAGCTATTCAAGTTTGGAAAATCTAACAATATTCAGATTTTTTTCAGACAAATTTTGAATTGTACCTGCCCTATGCTTGTTTTAAAAAATATGGGTGAACATTATAGGATAATGCATATAAAGAAAATCAGAGTGCGGTTGATATGAGTTGTTGAGGAATCTATCAAAGAAGAGATTATATGCTCCATGAACTTCAAATCTAATGAATAGATAATGCTATAAAGGTGTTATGAATTATTTAATTTGTTAGACATTTTAAAAGTCTAATATGGCTACTGAATAAAAGATTATGCTCAAATTAAGGTTGTGGAATTCAATTCTTTAGAAATTGAGTATAATACAAAGAAATCGATAATGTCCCAAAGGATGCTGAATTTAATTTGTTAAGACATCAATTGAGATTATACTCCAAATGTTATGAAATTTAATTTTTTAGAATTGAGGGTCCTCTTCTAAATAAAATCTCCTGTTGTTGATGAGATTATTAACAATGAGATCTATGCTCAGAAACATAACAAACACATCAACCATGGTGTTTAGCAATGAATCTTTCCTCAAGAAGTTCTGCTCAAAATGTTACTGGGGTATTCACTCTTTAAAACTATTAAACACCCAGTCTCCTTTTGAGGAGAGGATTTCAATGCTTCGAGTATAAACAGTACTGGAAGGTTTCTTCAGTCTTTAAAGTTTAATTCCTAAACATAAGAATTACTTTCTAAGCTTTAATAAATTGCTCAAAAGAAAGTTACATATCTCTAATTACCTACTTAAGTGGTATAACTGTACTTAAAGAAGAAGAATTGACCTGGTTGGTACATATGCAATATATATAACATACAACATAAGATTATATAATAGCTATGTCAATGTACAACAATATCTATAGTGAATACATGCAGATTTACAATTGAAATTCATATATAACTTCAAAGATAATTCAAGATAATATGTAAAGGGTAAATAAATTTCATTTTTTTCTGCTTTAAATTTCTTAATTTTAATGGATTTTGAAAAACATTAATAGTAAATAAACACATTTATCAAAAAAAATTTAGAAGGATAGAAAATATATGAAGGTATGAAGAATTTGAGAACGACATAAAAAAACAAAAAACTGATATTTTATTTCAAGTTAAAAGCTTAAAGTACTTTGAAGTATTTACAGCCTCTTTATACAAAGATCCATGCATCTTCATTCAAAGCAAATCATATATCTGTACCACTTAAAGCAATCATTGTTTTTCTAATTACACGATTCCAATACCAAAGCAATCATAACAATTCAGAAGGCTGTGTTAGACATTCCATTACTCAAGAGATCGTTAGTAGAACATAGTCAGGTTTCATGCAGTCAACGGTGTAATGTTATATAGTAAAGTTGTAGGTAGTAAGATTTTCTGAGAGAGATAATATTTCTGAACCTGACAGGGAAGGAAGATATGGAGACAAGGGAAATATAAACTGGATAAGAATTGTGTTATATGACTCTGTATTGGCTAAAATGTCATAATAAGTTCAAATGTCTTGGCATAATGCCATTCATCATCATTCATGTTTTGCTTCAGCTCTGAGCTTTTATATCTAACCAAAACTTACCAACCAATAACTAACAAACGTGACACCATAGCAAACTTTCTTCTAACAGGTCAGTTTAAATTGAATTTATTTTATATGGAGCTATTAAAACAATTGTTGAGAATATAAAAATTAATAACTGTCTTATGATACATATCCTAGATTCAATAACTGACTATATACGTATCCTAGATTCAATATCCTTCTATACATATCCAAGATTCAATAATTGTTTATACATATCCTAGATCCAGTAACTGTCTATACATATCCTAGATTCAATATCCTACTATACATATCCAAGATTCAATAATTGTCTATACATATCCTAGATCCAGTAACTGTCTATACATATCCTAGATTCAATATCCTACAATTCATATCCAAGATTCAATAATTGTCTATACATATATCCTAGATTCAGTAACTGTCTATACATATCCTAGATTCAATAACTGTCTATACGTCTCCTAGATTCAATATCCTACTATACATAACCTAGATTCAATACCCTACTATATATATCCAAGATTTAATAATGGTCTGTCCATATCCTAGATTCAATATCCTTCTATACATATCCAAGATTCAATAATGGTCTATCCATATCCTAGATTCAATATCCTTCTATACATATCCAAGATTCAATAATGGTCTATCCATATCCTAGATTCAATAATTGTGTATACATATATATCCTAGATTCAAAAATTGTCTTTACATATCCTAGATTCATTATCTGTCTATACATATCCTAGATTCAATAACCGTATATATACATATCCTAGATTCAAAAACTTCAAAAAATTAAACCCCGTTGAAACTGCTGAAGAAATAAGCAATTTAAACAAAGTATTAAAAAAGTAATGTTTTGGCCCCTTTTTCGAATTTATCTTACCGACTATTCATATCCTAGATTTTAATAACTGTCTATATGTATCCTAGATTCATTAACTATCTTTACCTATCCTAGATTCATTAATTGTCTATACATATCCTAGATTCATTAACTGTCAATACATATCCTAGATTCAATATCTGACTTTACATATCCTATATTCAATAACTGTCAATACATATCCTAGATCCATTCACTGTCAATATATATCCTAGATTTTAATAACTGTCTATATGTATCCTAGATTCATTAACTATCTTTACCTATCCTAGATTCATTAATTGTCTATACATATCCTAGATTCAATTACTGTCAATACATATCCTAGATTCAATTACTGTCAATACATATCCTAGATTCATTAACTGTCAATACATATCCTAGATTTTAATAACTGTCTATATGTATCCTAGATTTAATAACTATACGTATCCTAGATTCATTAACTGTCAAGACATATATCTTAGATTCAATAACCGTATATACATATCCTAGATTCAAAAACTGTCCATACATATCCTAGATTCATTAACTATCTTTATCTATCCTAGATTCAATAACTGTCCATACATATCCTAGATTTGATAACTGTCTAGACATATCCTAGATTCAATTACTGTCGATACATATCCTAGATTCATTAATTGTCTATACATATCCTAGATTCATTAACTGTCAATACATATCCTAGATTCAATATCTGACTATACATATCCTATATTCAATAACTGTCAATACATATCCTAGATCCATTCACTGTCAATATATATCCTAGATTTTAATAACTGTCTATATGTATCCTAGATTCATTAACTATCTTTACCTATCCTTGATTCATTAATTGTCTATACATATCCTAGATTCAATTACTGTCAATACATATCCTAGATTCAATTACTGTCAATACATATCCTAGATTCATTAACTGTCAATACATATCCTAGATTTTAATAACTGTCTATATGTATCCTAGATTTAATAACTATACGTATCCTAGATTCATTAACTGTCAAGACATATATCTTAGATTCAATAACCGTATATACATATCCTAGATTCAAAAACTGTCCATACATATCCTAGATTCATTAACTATCTTTATCTATCCTAGATTCAATAACTGTACATACATATCCTAGATTTGATAACTGTCTAGACATATCCTAGATTCAATTACTGTCGATACATATCCTAGATTCATTAACTGTCCTATACATATCCTAGATTCAATAACTGTCTATACATATCCTAGATTCAATAACTGTCCATACATATCCTAGTTCAACAACTGTCAATACATATCCTTGATTCAATAACTGTCCTATACATATCCGAGATTCAGTAACTGTCAATACATATCTTAGATTCAATAACTGTCAATACATATCCTAGATTCAATAACTGTCAATACATATCCTAGATTCAATAACTTTGTATACATCTCCTAAGTATCAATAACTGTCTATACGTGTCCTAAATTCAATAGCTGTCCTATACATATCCTGGATTCAATAACTGTCTATACATATCCTAGATTCGATATCTGTCAATACATATCCTAGATTCTATAACTGTCCATACATAAACAAGTTAGATCAGAGAGTTCAATCTTTTGACTGGCCCTAAATAAAATAAGTTGCCCACAGAAGAAAGTCCCATGGTCAGATGGATAAGATATATTTAGACAGCGGTTAATAAAAATGAACCAGGATAATATGATGTCTGCCTTTGAGCTTAAAACCTGAGCCAAGTCAGCTGCAATATTTTATCAAATGACCATGTGCATGCCATTGTTTGTTCAGATGTATAACAACTCTACAAACGTCTCAGCAATATCATAGCAGAAAAGTTAGCTCTCACAAAATGGATGGAACAATGCAAGAGATGGAAATTGAACATTTCAAATACTTTTGTTACTTCATTTAAATGTTAAATTCCACTGATATCATAAATATTCCTAAATTGTTATACTGTTCTAACTTATTCTAAATATTAATTTCCAATGGTATCATAAATATTCTTTAATTGTTATACTTTTTAGTTAAATCAATCAGAAAACACATTTGCATTGCCTTCAAAACTATTTTAGTACAATGTTATAAAAACCCATTACCTCCAATAAAACATCATTACATCTTGGTCTGAAAAACTTTTTGTTCAAAACAATATGAAAAGAAAAAAAATATAATGCACTTGAAGTTCTACATTTTTTATACATTTTTTATACATTTAAAAGGATTGTAATAGCTACAATAGGTTTATAGTCACAATCAGTAATGGTCACTGTTTTCAAACATGTGTCACAATTCACAACTTATTCTACATTTATTCAGCTACTTGACCTTGATTAAAACCAGGAATAAAAGAAGACACAGGGAAACACCAATGAGACAGCAACCCAAAGACACTAACAACTAAAAGACATATTCAACCCTACACAATAATTTTTTATTGCTTTTTGTTTCATTAACTCCTAAAACACAAACATCAAACTCTAACATGTGTTTAACAGAAGAGTGTATGTGTCTTTAGTTATAAATGATATTGCAGAGTTAAAAAAGAAATAAGAAATATAGTAATACAAGGCAGAGTTTTCAGCATGTCTCGTTTACTATACCTGTTACAATATTATAATATCCTTTATCTCAAGTCATGGCAGCCTCTGCTTATTTTTTTAAATGATATTACCTTTGTCTCCAGTTACGACGGCCACTATTTCTTTTATTTCGTTTTGTTTTCTCCTTCAGACTTTCCTGGAATCGCTTCATTTTGACCCACTTCCTGCCAGCAATGTCATATGTACACCATGTAGATATAATTATGGACAACATTACTATCCAGTTAATAATGATTATAGCTGAAAAATAGGAAACATACCACACTATAGCTGATAAATAGGGAACATACCACATTACAGCTGATAAATAGGGAACATACCACATTACAGCTGATAAATAGGGAACATACCACACTATAGCTGATAAATAGGAAACATACCACATTATAGCTGATAAATAGGGAACATACCACATAACAGCTGATCAATAGGAAACATACCACATTACAGCTGATAAATAGGAAACATACCACATTATAGCTGATAAATGGGAAACATACCACATAACTGATAAATAGGGAACATACCACACTATAGCTGATAAATAGGAAACATACCACATTACAGCTGATAAATAGGAAACATACCACATTATAGCTGATAAATGGGAAACATACCACATAGATGATAAATAGGGAACATACCACATTACAGCTGATAAATAGGGAACATACCACATAACAGCTGATCAATAGGAAACATACCACATTACAGCTGATAAATAGGGAACATACCACATTACAGTTGATCAATAGGAAACATATCACATTATAGCCGATAAATACGGAACATACCACATTACAGCTGATAAATAGGAAACATACCACATTATAGCTGATAAATAGGGAACATACCACATTACAGCTGATAAATAGGAAACATACCACACTATAGCTGATAAATAGGGAACATACCACATTATAGCTGATAAATAGGGAACATACCACATTACAGCTGATAAATAGGGAACATACCACACTATAGCTGATAAATAGGGAACATACCACATTACAGCTGATAAATAGGGAACATACCACACTATAGCTGATAAATAGGAAACATACCACATTATAGCTGATAAATAGGAAACATACCACATTATAGCTGATAAATAGGGAACATACCACATTATAGCTGATAAATAGGAAAATGCTGTCATGTCATGTCAGTATTGAAATCAAATAATATTTATGAGCTTTTTATGCAATAACTAAATTTATGTTATATAGTTTTAAGGACAATTCTTTCACAGTTTTATTTTCATAATTCTTGTAAATAAAGATTTAAACATTCTTGGAACAGCCTTCTGTGTATGAGCCAGCTGACAAAGCAGCCAAATTGGTTAGCATATGATTTTTGCTTGGTGTTTAACAAATTAAACTTTCAGCAAACTTGGCTATAACATGGCAACCAGTTTATATTGCTGAGGAATCCAGAGTATCCAGAATAAACCATCAACCTTTGGCAGGAAAGGTAGCAATCCTTGTCCATGAGGATCCCAGTTTAACACATCATGCCACAGTGCGGTTTGAAACCACAACCTCAGATTTGACCGGCTAGTACACACTGAAGATGAACTATTTTTACCACTCAGCAACAACGCCCTCGTATTGTTTGACATATGTATTTTAATACCTCAAAAACTGAGATTACAAATTATAGTAGAAAGTTCATACGATTACTTTTACTGAGAGAAGATTGTAAATGAATAATTATTAAGTTTCAACAACGACTTTTCCAAGTATTTAACATTTGGCAGATTGATGTGTTTATATATATTAATGAGCTGTCACTTGTTTTACACAATCCAATGCTTTGAAGTGATGCACCCAAATATCAAAAGCCTTTTGTCAAAGATAAAAAAAAAGGGGTTGTTTTCCACTAGAGATTGTCACAAAATATCAATTAGTTTGACCTTGCAATCAAAGGTCAAGGTCATAATGATACAAGACACATCATCTTATGGTAACCTTCATGCACAATATGATAGGCAAATGTCAAAAGATAAATAAGTTTTGGCCAAGGGCCAAAGACAAGGTTGTCTGAGAATCAAAAGAAGAGATATCACTATATATTTTGTGTGCCCTCTAAAAATGAAGACATAATTTAATATTTTATCTAACTCAAAATTTGCAACAAAATTTGGCATTCAAAATTTCCTCAGTAGAAAAAGTAGAAACTAAGGTAGTAATATCAGAGTCTTTTAACATCTTGGATCATAAATATCAGCAAGTGATCAGTCAAATTTGTTTATGAAATAAGGAAATTTTGAAGCTGGAATGAAATTCATTTTTTCCCTATCATAATCCTTACAAAATGTGTTGATTTTTCACGACCCAAACCTTGAAAACAAGCACAGGTGACTTATACTATTTATTATACTTGTATTTACTAAAATTGCATTTAAAAATCTACATATTGGTAAAGTATGAAAAAATTCTGTCAGTTTTTGTTGATACCCCATACTTTTTGAATGTCATAGAATATATGATCTATCATATTTGATCACCTTGATACAGCACTTATGTTAAAGATGACAAGATTGGTAGCTGCTTTGTCAGTTGGTACAAACACAATCACGTTCCAAGATCATTTAATACTCATCAATTTTGAGACATTTTCAGAAGAAACATTTGTTTATGAATGGTTTTGATATATACATGTACATTACTTAATTTTTTTTTTAAATCTGATGCTTAAAAATGTTCCATAAGTGCATCTGATGTGGAGCTTTGCATTATGTGCATAGAGTAAAATGGTCCTTATTTAAAAAAAAGCTATTTAAGACAAATGAAATAATTACCTAAAGCAGCTTTCTTTGGAGACTCTGATTTACAGCTCTGGTAGTGTTTAACTAGCCATAAAATGCCAACTATCTGCCAGGAAAATTCAAACAAAAGAACAGCTGAAAAAATCAACAAAATGCATGTATAAAATAAAAACAACCACAAGTAATACATATATAATACATTTACATGTATAAAACAAAAACAACCACAAGCAATACATATATAATACATTTACATGTATAAAACAAAAACAACCACAAGCAATACATATATAATACATTTACATGTATAAAACAAAAACAACCACAAGCAATACATATATAATACATTTACATGTATAAAACAAAAACAACCACAAGTAATACATATATAATACATTTACATGTATAAAACAAGAGTGGACACACTGAAATGTCTCGCCTATTTTAGTGTTCATGATTGAATTTATGTTGAAAGTAAAAAAAATAAGTTTATATAAGCTTTACATTAAATTAACATTTTAATGATGAATGAACATGAAGTCAAGGTGAGATAAACCCTATCAGACAAACTTGTAGGCCGTACAATCATTCCATACACCAAATTTATTTAACATATATTGCCTAAAGTATCTTAGAAACAAACCTCATTGAGGAAACTGAACTTTGACCAATGAACCATAAAATGAGGTCAAGGTAAGATGACACCTGTCAGACAGACATATACACATAACATTCATTCCATACAGAAAATTTTATGAACTTATCACTTATCTGCCAGTTGGAAATGTGAACCTTACGATCATTCTATACACCAAATATAGAAGACCTATTGGTGATAGAATTTGAGATATGGACTTTATCATGAAAACTAAATCTTGTTCACTGATCCATTAAATGATGTCAAGGTCAAATGAAATATGTCTGACAGATATGTGAACCATGCAAGGTACGCACATGCCAAATAAAGTTATCATTTTACTCATAATAATTGAGAAAATCACATTACAAAAACCATACATTTTTTTTTCCAAGTAGTTGCTGGACCAAGAAAATGAGGTCAAGGACAATGGACATATGACTGACAGAAACTTTGTCACATAAGGCATTAGAAATATTAAGCTGTAAGTAATGAGATAATGACGCTGCTGCTGCAGATGCCCCTGCCAACGCTGCTGCTGCCGCCCCTGCCACCGCCCTTGCCGAAGATCACTATCATAGTGTCTTCATACTACAAATTGTATGGGTTATTATCCACTATATGAAAATATGCTGAATAACTGTGGTTAAGGTTAAATAACATAGTGATATACCATTGATATTGATAATTGTGATTAAACATGGCAGTGATGAGTGATATTATGATTGTTAGATTTTAACACAAGAAGAATATTTAATCACAATCTTTGCAAGTTAAGTGCTGAAAAGTGAAATAGTTTGACATGTGATAATGTTACATCTGCAGTGAGTTATAAAAACATCATAACTGCTGAAAAGGAAAATTATCAATATTAACTATTACTGAAAGAGAGGAATTTTCTTGATACCAGATCAACCAGAAATGCTGTTACCTTTTTATGGTCTGTGAATGATATCTAAATGAAAAATTCATTTATTTAAATGGTTATACAAAGATATATTTTTCTACATGGATATTACAAACAATACAGTTTACAACACATTTTGTAACACAGAAGACAAATTACAAAATTAAAAAGTACATTAGACATGATGTATATCTAAACAGTTCATTGTGGCATTTCTGGCAGCTTAGTTTAGTAATGATCCCTTAAAAGTTTTTATTATTTAATATCATTATTAATGTTATTTAAAGATTTTTATAAAATAATCTATTTCAATGTAAGTAATCAGCAGTTAAATAATAAAATACATTCCATACACCAAATATAGTTGACCTATTACTTATAGCATCTGAGAAGAAGACCAAACAACAGAAACTTAACATTGACCAATGAACCATGAAAATAAGCTCAAGGTCAGATGAAACCTGTCAGACAGACGTGCACACCTTACAATCATTCCATACACCACATATAGTTGACCTATAACTTATAGTATCTGAGAAGAGGACCAAACAAGAGCAACTTAACATTGACCAATGAACCATGAAAATGAGGTCAAGAACAAATGACAACTGCCAGAAAGACATGTACACCTTACAATCATTCCATACACCAAATATAGTTGACCTATTGCTTATAGTATTAGAAAAACAGACCAAAACACAAAAACTTAACATTGACCAATGAACCATGAAAATGAGGTCAAGGACAAATGACACCTGCCAGTCAGACATGTACACCTTACAATCATTCCATACACCAAATATAGTTGACCTATTGCTTATAGTATTAGAAAAACAGACCAAAACACAAAAACTTAACATTGACCAATGAACCATGAAAATAGGTCAAGGAAAAATGACACCTGCCAGACAGACATGTACACCTTACAATCATTCCATACACAAAATATAGTTGACCAATGGCTTATAGTATTAGAAAAACAGACCAAAACACAAAAACTTAACATTGACCAATGAACCGTGAAAATGAGGTCAAGGTCAGATGAAACCTGCCAGACTGACATATATCCCTTATAATCATTCCATACACCACATATAGCTGACCTACTGCTTGTAGTATCTGAGAAACGGACCTAATCACGTACCTTTAACCTTGATCACTGATCCATGAAATGAGGCTGAGGTCAGGTGAACCCTGTCTGATGGACATGTAGACGTTGCAAGGAACCTATATACCAAATATAGTTATCCTATTACTCATAATAAGTGAGAAATTTACATAACAAAAAAACTAAACTTTTTTTTCAAGCAGTCGCTGAACCATGAAAATAAGGTCAAGGACATTGGACATATGACAGACGGAAAGTTCGTAACATAAGGTATCTGCATACAAAGTATGAAGCATCCAGGTCTTCTACCTTCTGAAATATAAAGCTTTATACAAATAGTTTACGCCGCCGTCGCTGCCGCCGCCGGATAGTAATACCTATGTCTCACTTTCTGCGACTTTTGTCTCAGGCGAGACAAAAAAAGTATCACAAGTAATACATATATAATACAAAATGTATATGACATTTAAATTTTCAAATCCACGAGAATGCTGGAATGTGAATTAGGGTTTCAGAGAAATATCCATATCTTATTCCAACTTGTCAACATCATGTTTAGCTTATCCTCTAGCACTGATACAGGTGGATTATGTATATGATTCTAATTTCTTCTACTCTTGGCTGTTCCATGTTCAGGATTAATTTCGAACAGCGGTATACTACTATTGCCTTTATTTACCCTCTAGGACTGATACAGGTGGATTATGTATATAATTCTAATTTCTTCTACTCTTGGCTGTTCCATGTTCAGGATTAAGTTTACCCTCTAGGACTGATACAGGTGGATTATGTATATAATTCTAATTTCTTCTACACTTGGCTGTTCCATGTTCAGGATTAAGTTTACCCCCTAGGACTGATACAGGTAGATTATGATTATGTATATGATTCTAGTTTCTTCTACTCTTGGCTGTTCCATGTTCAGGATTAAGTTTACCCTCTAGGACTGATACAGGTGGATTATGTATATAATTCTAATTTCTTCTACTCTTGGCTGTTCCAAGGAATAAATTTCTGTACCTAGGTTTTTTTTTAAATATTAGATCAATATTCAATACATAATTATGAATTTTGAGTGTAAGTGGAAACTTTTGCAGCATACACGAACGGGGTATTGGACTATGACTTTAATGGGATCAAATGATATTGGGATGTCCTGCCTTTATTCGTAACCTCATGCATGTCATGTGTCCGAATTTTAATTTTTTTCCCAAACATATATTAATTCGTTCACATAGTTTTTCATAAAATTTTGTTTTCCACACCAGTGCATAGGATTATTTCATAAATAATAATTACATGATTAAGTATCCTTCTTTTTTCTAATTAGAAAAATGAAGAACTCTACACAATACAAATAATGGTTTTGCTGTCCATAATACAGATCTCCCTAACAGTAAATTCCAAATCAATTACAGAACACAGAAATTGTAAACACCAGTACTAATGTGTGTAAAAACATTCAATTTATCCTAGAAAATCAATTACGGAATGGAGAATGTTGAACATAATGCCAACTTTAAATGACATTTCAATTTAAATTTTGTAGATGAAGTGTAAATGAGGACTGAAACCACATTAATGCTTTCATGCTTTGTTTGGCCAATAACTCTGTATAGAAGTTCTCTCTTAGAATTTCTTTTTACGCCAGACATCTCCGATTCAAGCTCACTTGTTGTGTATCCCCCAGGTAGAATAAAACTATATAAGTATCAACTGAAGATAAAGTTTAAGTAATTGGATCTTCAGCCGGGACTGTAAGTTAACCTTTTAGCAAGACTGAAAACAAAAATAATAGAATTAGACAGGACAGGAGAACTTCAACCTAAGTTTCAAGGGGACATTGAAATGAGGGCATACATTTGTCTTTTAAGACTGTTCAAATTGGTTTTCCTCCCTCTTCTGTGAAAAATTTCTGTATCTGGTCAGGAAATAAAATTTTCACTGAAAGTTGTCCTAGATATTGGTGATGTACATTTGACATAATCTTTTATAAAATTCTGATAATAACTGTTGGTTTAGAAAGTCAAATTTCATATCCTTTTTATTTCCAAGGGGGGTAATTCCCCTTAAATAATCCACTGGCACTGATTTTTAACTTGTGCGAAAAATATTGTTCACATATAAACCTTTGGCATAAGTTTTATGGAAATCTGGAAAGAACTATAGATTCAGTTTCCATATTATTTACATTTCAAAGGGGCATAACTACCCTAAAAAATAATCCACCAATCCCGACTTTTTGAGCAGGATCGAACTATAGCGGATGTCAACAATTGACATAAATTTTATTGATAATTGATGAAAATTGTAGGTGTGAGAGTAGTCCAACATATTTAACAGACATGCAGACATTAACATTTCAAATCATCCCCTACCTCCACTTCTCAATTCGCAATGGTGTCAGAAATTCATCTAAAATATCAATTTTTGCAGCCTGTATAAAACGACTATCTAAATTTTAAATTTTGTCATTTTTTCTCAAATTATTGGGTTAAAAAAGAAATGTTTTACAGAGAGTAGTAGACAAACATGCAATCACAAGCCTGATCTTGATAATATCCTCTCAAAGCTATGTTGGGGATATAGACTAAATACATAATCAAATAAAACCAAATAAAACCAAATATTTTTAATTCAATAAAATGTCAAGTCTGAAATATCATTCAAATAACCAAGATCCAATTTGTTTTTCTACAATCCTTCAATTAAAGTACATAAACAGTCAATATAAACATTGATGAAATCAACAGAGCTGTGTAATTAGTATTAATTGATTAATGACCTAACTAGTGATGGCAGAAGTCATTTTCTTTTAAGGTCAATACATCACTATAGACTATCAATCAATGATTTGATGTACAGGAATCTTAAGCTTGTAGCTTTGAATGCTGTATATCAATTTATATTAAATAATGTCAATTTTTTATGTAAAAGTAATGAATGTATTACAAATAGATATTTTTTTCAAAACTTGAATCACTGTAAGAAAAATGTATATTGATTGTTTGGTTTTGGGGATTTAATGCCACTTTCACACGTTCAGCCAGTATTTTTTGGCGGAAGAAGCCGGAGTGCTCAGAGAGAACCATTGACTTTGGTAGGAAAACAGGCAACCCTAGTAAAAAAAAGATTGGAGTGATATGCAGAGTTCTCGAAAAGTGGCAGTCTGAAGGTTTTGACCACCAAAATTTTGCAAAGGACCGACACAATTTTGATATTTTGCAATAGAAATAATAGTGAGGACCAGCAGATTTTCTCCAAGGACCACCAGGGGGAAAAAGATTTCAAGAACTCTGGATATACACCTGCCAAGGGCACGGTTCAAACTCACAACCCCAGTGCTGACACCTATGGCCCAAGAAAAATATATGATATACCAATAAATAGAACAGAAATAAAAATACCAAAACTGAGTCTAAACTAGGAGATACAAGTAAACCAAAAACTTTAGCAACTGAAAGATTCTGCAAATTTTGCAGAGACAAAGTAGAATATGAAGTAAACTTCCTTTTTATAGTATCACCTATACAAAAACCTTCAAAAGAAGTTTAGTATTTTCAAAAATCTGATTAAAGATGATGATTTCAAATCAGTAACATATTTACTTATTCCAAATAATTTGGTTATTATAAATAGACATGTGGTTATAGCATATCACTAACTTTTACTTGCTATGCATATGTTTACATTATTGAGGGGGTGGACAGCTTTTGAGGAAGGTGGGAGGTGGGGGGAAGGTGGGAGACAAAAAATAGGTGGTAGAGAAAAAAAGATTCTAAAAGTGGGAGGTGGGAGATAGGGGGTGGGAGGTGGGAGGTGGGAGGGGCGGGTGGTGGGAGAAGGGTATCCCCCTGTCCACCCCTCATTATTTATCATGTTGTTTGTGTCATATATGTAAACTTGGATTATCCAATGTCATATTTATTATATGTACTTTATCCAATAAAATATTTGATTATATTTCATTTGATTTGATTTCAATTAGAGATTTCATACAAAAATAACAGAATAAGTGACAATTTATTGGCATACATTTTGTATTTCTTGCCAATTGTTAATCTTATGCATTATTCCACTTTCTTTACATCATAAAAACCAAACGTTCAACAGAAATCCAAGTGTTATCTTTATTCATGATCATTAAATAACCAAATTTATAATAAGTACTCTTGAAATTGGTGCTTAATGTGAAATTTGCTCTCAACTTTTTCTCACCACTTATTACAAAGGAAATAAAAACTTTCCTCAAAATCTGTACCTCTTTATTTGGGTATTCTAATTTTTGAAACAGGAACTGTCCCATCGAATAAATACAAATTGTTTTCTGTGGAGTTCATTCTGTGGGAACTTTTAAATTTCTCCTTGAAAAACCAATCGTTCATTGATTATCAAATTTGGCTTTAAAAAAAAATCCCAGTGATGAAAATACATACATGTACCAATACTTGAAAATGACACACATTATCAGACCAAGAGATAATAAATATTTTTGGTTCCAGCTTTTCGAAGTTTGTAAATACTAGATGCAACCATTTTGACAACTCCACACTGAAGAGAGTTCAAGTGCTGCCATTGGTCAAGAGGGATGTCGTGGGAATGGCCGTGACTTTTATTTACAGGAAGATGGCACAACATTATTATCACAAATGTTGGCTTAATCTGCCAAGGGTGGAGATAGAGGGACTGTTCATAACCCTTGGCTAGCAAAGATGGGTCTCTTGTGGAGAGTTGTCTCATTGGCAATCATACCACATCTTCTTATTTTTATAAGTACTGATTCTGTGGAAAGGTTTTGTTTCCTTTGCAATAATCTATTTGTTTAAAGTTTTATTTGTATGACTTTTCATATTCCCACAGCCATCTAATTTTCAGTTCTAACCTGTAACATGTCTAATCATTTATTTGTGAAATTTATCCATGCATTTCATATTTAAATCACATTATAACACAACTATCTTTTTTGCTTAAAATTAACAATTTGATTGATTTTTCGCGGTTGTTATTTCTAAGGGGACATACCTATAAAAAAACAAGATTCTAAGATTAGCAGATGGATTAGTTCCTTAATCTCTTTGATCTAGGAATTTATAATACAACTTGTGTCACTATGGAAACCAATTCCATACCAATAAAGATATTTACCTAATTTAGTATACAGAAGATACTGCATACAATCTCTGGGCTCAGCATGTAGAATGGTTCCTCTTAAACTGACCCAGAAAATGATAACTTCTATCACTATGGCCACAGATATCATAACAAGGTAACCAAGGAGATAGTTCTTCAGGTTAACAAGTCCAACAGTGCACGTCTTTGCTTGCTCAAAATCTACAACTCCAAGTATAACAGCTAATACTACTTCCCTGGATAATAAAAAGAGGTGACTCATATCAAAATCATTCATTTGAATGAACATAAATGCATAATACATATAAAATGCTTCGCCGAGCGCAGCCTGATACGACCGCAGAGGTCGAACCCTGAACAGTTGGGGCAAGTTTGGACACAATATTCAAGCTTGATACTGTCTGAATTTGGATTGTGATCAAATTTTTGACATAATATAGGTTTCTGACACAAAATAAATGTGGTCAAAGATCTTAAAAATTTGAAATGGGACATTTAATTTACCTAGAATAGTCTGATATCCAAAATCTAACAACATGGTTATATTCAGCACATAAAAAAACACAAAAAATTTAATTCTAGTTGAAATCAAACTAAGTTTTAAATTTTGGACCCTTCAAACCTTAATATGGACTAATTTAAACACAGGGCCCAAAATAAAAAAATTAAATGCACAATAAGATTTAGCATACCATAGAGCCGCAATATTTCAGTTTTAGATGAAATCAAACAAAGTTTAATTTTGGACCCTTTGGACCTCAATGTAGACCAATTTAAAAATGGGGCCCAATATCCAAAATTGTAATACAAGTTAAAAGCCCCTAAAATTAAAGACTTAATTTAATCCCATTGAAATTGGTTAAAAGATTTGCATTTATTTTTAATTGATGATTTCTTGCTATTGTGCAATACTGTACATGTGCTGTTGCACAATACTTAGTTAATCTGTTATATATAATAATTTACACACCCTGTTTGGTGTGTATCTCCTGCCATATCAGTATTTGTTGCTTTTATTAATAAATCAGAAATAATCAATGTAAAAATGGAAAAATTTTGAAAAAAAAACAAAAATTATGAGAAAAAAAATCCCCCCAAAAATTTGTTTTGGAAAATTTGAAATTTTGAAAAATCTTGAATCTCCTTTTTGGCCCCTAATTCCTAAACTGTTGTTACCATAACTCCCAAAATCAATCCCAACCTTCATTTTGTGGTATTGAACCTTCTGGTAAAATTTCATAGAGATCCATTCACTTTTAAAACTAAAGTTATTGTCCGGAAACCAAATGTGTCTTCGGACGACGACGACAACATGAAAGCATTATACAACTGCAAATTTTTTGCTGTCGTATAAAAAAGGATGATAGACATCCTTGAAGTGCATTGAAGTGACATTGTGGATGTTGACCATTTTGTTGATGTATAATTGGTAAGAAGTGACATTGTGGATGTTGACCATTTTGTTGGTGTATAATTGGTAAGAAGTGACATTGTGGATGTTGACCATTTTGTTGATGTATAATTGGTAAGAAGTGACCTTGAAGTACAAATGTAACTTCTAGAATGTTATATGACATTTCTGTCACTGTACTTAAACAACTTCTTCATTTCTTCTCTCATTATTGTTTCTACATTATTCATGTATTTAGCTGCATTAAATTTGCATGGAGATACAGCAGTTAATATCAAAATGTAAGAAGGCAAAAAAATCATTTAGTTTAATCCTGGTATTTATGATGAGTCTATTTACTTAATGTCTGTTTGTGTACTTTGGCACCCGAGTATAACCAAGGCATTATATGTAAGCTACCCATTTTAGCTTATAAAAAAATTTAAAGTACTTGGGGGAAAAAAAACTGATGATATATTTCCTCATGCCCATATTTAAATGACTTCTGCCAGGAAATCAATAACTACGTGAAATATTTCATATAAATACACATTCCCAAGGTCAATAGCCATGTTTGATCATTACTACCTGTTGTATAATCAATTAACCTAATTTGACCACATTTGTAATATAAATATTACATTAAAATTGGAGACAAATTAAATCAATCAATAGCTTCTATAAAAGGAAGGAAATTCTATATAACTATACTCAGCAACACAAATAAATCACCACTTCTTCCCATACGTAGTAGTTTCACAATTTCTATTTGGGCTAAAATTAGACAAAACTCTAGCATATTCTAAGCCTTACCTTGAGTTTATCCACAATTTGCAGAGAATTCCTTGTTTCAGGGTTTCATCCAAAAAAGTTGAAAAAACTAAAAGGTTTGAGACAGGCCAATTCTAAATTGGTCATTATAAAAAAAACGAAGTAATTTCTCTGTTTTCAAGTGAAAAAGTACACACACTTCAGTTTTCACAGATTTTGCAAATTTTTTATTTGGGGTTTTTGAGTAGTATAAATAAATATTCAGAAGACCTTCATTTTCACAGAATTTAATATTTTGACACCAAAAATATTGTGCCAAATATTGACTCATTTCAATCACTTTTTTAAAAAGTTATTTTAAAAAACATTTTTTTTACAAAGTTATTAATAGTGATGGTGTGTTTCTTTTGTTGCTGAGTACATTAGAGATTGTTATCAGGTGAGCATGTCTTTCTCACCTCAAATCTGGTTACACTGACTTAGATCAATAAATACATGATTACTCTGATTCATTAAAAACACAGCAATGCTTAAATCTACAAAAATCAAATATCAGCTAACTCATCTGTATATCCTTTAAAAAATCCATCAGAACTGAAAGCTCTTGTCTCAAGGAACTTAATGAAGTTTATTCATATATTTTCAACATCTCTAAACAAATTTATCATATACATGTACAAAAAGTAAATTTTTTGGTTCCATTACTTACAAAAATTACCTCAGTATTTGTTAAGTCATACAGCTACCACAAAAAATAAACCAGCAGGAATTTTCATAGTGAATTCTTTAATGACCTAAATGAAAACCCTAAGGTGCTGATTTGTATTGCTTTTGCCCAAATCTGACATACATGTATTCCAGAAAAAGATTTTAACAAAGATCACCAAGAGAAAACTATATCAAAACTACAGCTGTTAACTTTAAAATGCTGAAGTTTTTAAGGTATAAATGTTCAATAATATGACTCTGAAATTTGTGACATAATCATTGAAAACGTAACAAAACCTATCAGATGCATTTGTATTCCTTACATTGATTTAACATATATGTACATTTGTATCATAAATCTTCTTATAACATACCAAAATAATCTTAACCTTGACTTTTAATATGCAGATATATATATATATGCATGATCCTTAAAATTATTCAATCCATTGGCCTCAACAATATTGTTCCCTTATTAATAATAAAGAAACCCTTAATTTCAGGTGTGATATCATTATTTCCTTAATCTTATCATATAATACCCCAGAAATATAAATATAACGAAAAATACATTTAGAGTGAATTAATCAAAATCACTAGAATCAACAGTAAAATTAGTCACTGCTGAATGATTTTCTTCATATGATGATCGTCTTGTCAAGAATCATTCAAAACAAAATGTCCTTTATCAAATGACTCATGTATCATTAAAATTCTAATCAATCAGGCTGAATTTGCTATGGTAGTTGAATTGATTTAGTAAATGATTAGTTAATGAATGAAATATTGCCAATCATTCATGTAAACAATTAAGTGATAGTACATTAAATCAAATAACTGGACAAACAGTAATTGCTGAATCAATCTGTCTAGGCATTAGATACTAATATTTACATAATGTTTCTAAATGAAGTGATGATAAAAATGGCAATCAGTATTTGGAATGGCAACTATGAATGAATTTTATTCTCATCAACTAATGACATAGTTATAGAGACAATAAGTATATACAACAATATAATATAATATACAGTGCATGTGTGAAATAATGATATACATTAACCAGGAGGAGAGACTTTCACATTAACAGCTTTAATATATCGACATAATTTTTCTAAAACTGTCATATTACTTGAGGAAAACAGATTACATAATTTCAAGGTGTTTGCATTTTTCCAACAAAATTCCGGTAAAAATGTTTGCCTTTCATTATCGAAAGATTTACAAGACAAAATATAATGATACTCGTCACCGATTTCAGCCGAGCCACAGATACGACACAATCTATCATTTCTTGACAGATTATGCCATCTCCCTGTCTCGACTGGTAAACGGTGACTACTACATCTAAATTTACAAAACATATACATACAATTCAATGGTAAAATAGATATATATTCTTCAAATTTAAATTCTGTTTTAAATATTCTATAGCATATACCTTTAGAGGTAGAATTCATATTTTCATGCCATTCCTGTATAAATTGGTCCTTCAGTTTTTGTTCTACACATTTAGAAATCCACAAAGCAGAAAAAGTACCCTGTTGATTCCAAATATTTGACATTCCACAATTATCTAATGTGTTTTTTATAAAACGTAACCATTTATTCTCCAAACCATAATTATTAGAGTAAATAAATAATAGCTTATATAAAAGTGAGGAGACTTTACATTCTTCTCCATGTAAGAGACGACACCAAAACTTTACCATACGAACTCTTGCATGAAATGAAATGGGGTATCTTCCCAGCTCTCCGTAAATCATAAAATTTGGAGTAGATTGTTTCAAATGTAGTATAAGTTTGCAAAATCGCAAATGAACTTTTTCTAGTAACTCCAAGTTTTCAAAACCCCAAATTTCACATCCATACAAAAGTATCGGTAAAATAGTTTTGTCAAACATATCTAATTGACATTCAATAGATAAATTGTTTTTTCTACATTTTTGTAACAATCCATACATTGCTTTTGTAGCTTTTCCATATAAATATTTTCTTGTCTTTAAAAAAGAGCTACTTTTTGAAAATATAATTCCAAGATATTTATATTCGTTTACTATCTCGATATCATGATCTTCAATATAAAATTTTAAATTCTTTGACAGTCGACCTTTTGAAAATACCATAACTTTTGTTTTCTGCACATTTATTTTCAGTTTCCATTGTTTACAATAATCACAAAATTCGTTAAGCATCAATTGTAAGTCTTCATTTGATTCTGACATCAAAATTGTATCGTCAGCATACAGTAAAATAAACATTTTGAAATAAACCATTAATTCATTTTCTATATCTTTACTAATAGTTTCTAAACCTTTAGCATTTGTAGTTTCTAGAAAGTCTTGCAAGTCATTTAGATATAAAGAA